GAAGAATGCAAATTTGTATAAATCTCATTTATTGTTTTATCCAAAAAAAAGGAGGGGTGTGTGATGTTTTCCTGTGATTTAAAAAAGGACTTTGAGGGCAAAGCAGCTGGAATCTTTCACACCAGCAAGACCTTTTGAAAGGAACAGAATCTAAGAAAATTTGAACGAAATGTTCAAGTGGAAAAGTTATAAATTGTTAGAGAAAGCTTTGTTTTTGTACACAAAAGTCCATTTTCCTGAGCTTTTCAAGTGTGTAATTCACATTTTCCAAGGATAGAAAAGTGTTCAGATAGGGTGTTTTTCAGGATGATGTTCTTCAAATCCTATGGGAATTGTTTAGCGATAAAGTAAGAAGAAAATTTTGTGTTATGACATCTTGTCTCCTTTGTTAAGCGTTTATCTATTATCAGTATCATATTTTGAGTTGGCCTTGTGAATAACAAAAAGGTTTATGGCCATGATACCATGTCAGTTTCTCGGCATTAAGATTGCCACTCTAAAAGGGGGTGTTGTATAAGATTAATCAGTTGCTGCTTCTTGTGTTCTTTGAGTACAATTATTGCCTTAAATTGTAGGCTTACAAAATCTTTTTAACTTGCTTTGAATTTTAGAAGTTTACAACTGTTAGAAATTCACAAAACTTGTCATGCTAAGAAACCAAACTCACTCATTAAGAAAAAAATCTTTACTTAGATAAATTAGCAACTAGCATCAGAAATGAAGGCACATAATTTATAAATGTTTCTAAGTTTGCCCCTCCGTACAGATGGTAAGTTAGTGTGGCATATTTATCCATGACACATGCCCAGAATCCAGAATCCCATGCTGGAAAAATCTCAGAGGGTCCCCACTTGCTTCCCTTTTTGCACATGACAGACGACATCCTCAGCCACCAGGTTTGCAAACCTGGAAAGAAAGTATATGACAGGGAGGAGACGGGCAAATGCTCTCATTTTCTTTGCTGTAACCTGAACTTTAACTTGGTTCACAAAGAAAGCAGCGGGAGGATGGAAGGAAGAAGGACGGGAAGGAGAGAAATTGTTCCCTGCGGGGTTTGTAAAGATCAGCAAAGAAGAAAAAAATCTGCATCTTCCCTTATTCTTCTGTCTCGGAGTTTTAGATTCACTGTACCATTGAATAAAGTCATACAGATCCACAGTGCATCTCTGAAACTTTAAGGTCGCAGTGTTTCCAAATTCAGAACTTTGTAGGTTTTAGATGGGTGGTTCAGGGGGTTCCTTCACACTCTGAGCAGGTCTGGGGCAGCAGCGGGCTTCCAGTGTGTTAATGCTCCTGCACCAGGACATGGATCTTCACATGAAGAGAGAAAGGTCGAACATTGCCTCGTGTAAAAAGCTTAGGTTTGCCACCTGGTGGGTTAAGAAGCATTTGTTTCTTAGAGCTTTTTGGATGTTGGAATTATGGATAATGAGGACCTGTAATACTCTGTTTTACTTATGAAATCTCTCTCCCTGGAGATCTCTACCTTCGTGATAGGCTCATAAAATCCGGAGGAATTGGTATGACACTAGCATCATATTACCGGTTCTGAATTTCGGGTTAGTCCTTTCTGTTACACTAGTCTCTCTTTCTGGGTTTATTGCTCTATTGTCTTAGCGCCCATGCGCATCAAAACACTGGTTTTGGCAAGAATTCTTCCACACTAAGAGTCTTCCATTTGCCCCTGGTTTCTCCTGCAAATTATGGACATCTCATTTGACCCGAGGGGAATCTCCTGGAAAACCATTTTGTCGTTTTTTTAAAGGAAAACAAGCACATTGTGGATTGTGCTAATCCTGTCAAATTGAATTTTTGCTTTCTTCACTGTATGGTGTCTTGGCTAAATTTGTTGTTGCTGCTTATTTGTGGCACATGCCCTCTTTGATGTATTGCTAGAAATCTGTTTCTCACACTGGATCGTTCCAACTTCTCATGCTTTATGAGCAGTACAGGCAGAAGAGAGACACATATTCTCAAAAAATTCCCCTACATCAAAGACCAACACAGCAGTGAGATACCACTTTTTTAGCGGCAACATTAATAACTACCTAAGAGTTTTGAGTAATATCTGGTTAATATTAAAAATAAGAAGACTTTGAGTTTTATTCTTAGTTTAGCAACTGACACTCTAAGAGACCTTTCTTCTTTTACTAAAGAAAAGAAACCCCTGTTAGAATGGCTTTAGGGTATTTTATAAGTTGGCATTTATCAGATGCACTGAACTCTGGGGGAAATGTCCGAGTGGAGCCCTGAGAGAGGAACCTGGGAACGTCTAGCACCTTCATTAGGTGATCGCGTCACAAGTCTCTGGAGATGGGGTGACCAGGTCTCCAATTATGACAGCTTTCTAATTTACAGCCACGGAGTCTGGTGAGATCATTGGATGGGGCTGGCCACCTCGAAGTTATCACAGATGTTTACAGACAGCAGAAAAGCAAATAGAACATTTCTACATCATTGTCCTGTGGGAACGATTAAGAGCCATGGATCCCTTCCAGAATGTAATGGATTTGGATGGGCTTCACGCCTTGGTGATTTCTTGTTCTATTTGTCTGTGTAACTTTGCTTGGGAGTTGAGCTAGAGTACCTACTGGGAGCCCTAGCAAGGAAGTCAAACCTGTGACTGTCATCACAGAAACTTGTTTGCCAACAAACCAGTGTTTGGTGGTAAGACGATCCCTTCCTCTTAGCTCCTTCCTTCCCCAAATATGCTTTAGATGTGAAGGGTGTGAGTAACCCCGACTCAAGCTCCGCTCAATAAAGGAGCTCCTAATTGCCTTTCTGACAGTTTCAGCCAATAAAAGTCCATCCCATAAAAATGCCTTTCCATATTTAAGGTGCCACTCTGGGGGCTGATGAATCAATGAATGGACTCCCTGTTCTCAGGGAGCTAATGGTCAAACAGGAGAGATAAGATCCAGAAATGCATCCCTGCGGGCTCTTGAGCTTTTGGTGAACTCAGTGTTTGCTTAAACTCTGTTTTAATAGCATGCGAGTAAAAATTCCAAACCCTACTTGGGAATTGAATTTTCCTAAACACCAGGAGTGTACTTGTTTGAAAACGTCCAGTGGCTGACCACTGCCTCCTGGATAAATTGGAACTCTATCAGCCCAGCACTGAAGGTCCTCAACATTCTGTGCCTCGTCTCCCTTTTGGCCCTATTGCCCCATACATCCCACCTGTTGCAGCTGATCTCTTTGGTTCAAAGTATCTGGCCTCCATACTCTGCTGTATTCCACTGAGGGGAAAAATGATATTGTTATCCTTTTTTCCATGCAGACCCTGCCCGCAAGTCTGCTCTTACACCAGAGCCCACAGTGGCCTTTCTGGCCTCTGAATTTTTCGGTTTGTTGTTTGAATTGACATGATCAAACACCGCCCATATGGATGGTTATCTTTTTATTTGCACCTCTCACCTTCCCCACTCAATTGTGAGCACCTTTTGGATGAGGACTATGGCTCATCCTTTTTTTGTATCCCCTAGATGACTTTCCCTATAGCAGGGGCTCCATAAATACCTTCAGCTTATTCCTTATTAATTGGTAAATCCTTGCCTTACCGCTTAGATGATAATAGATTAAGTGTTTGAATTTATTGATTCCAAAAGTAGCAAGTTGATATTTTCCTTCTGATTGGTTGTTCACAGCCATGATTCATAAACCTCAGTCACTATTTCTTAGTCCACTTGAAAAATGCCCTTTCTGGGAGCAGCTAGAATGTCACCACCCAACATCCACATGTTTCTTTGTCACCATATAAATGAACTTAAAGTGTTGGAATGGTGTTGCCCAGTGGCACTTGGAACCCAAAGGGTAGCTTCTGATTGCTTTGCTGTAGAAGCCATTCTGGCTTGGGTGGGTGCTCACGGAAGGGCACATCCTCCAGGTGGCAGGGTGGGTGTTGGGATGTTTGCCAGTCAGATGCCTCAGGAGATCCCCGTCTGTGACTGTGGTGTTCCTTCCTTCCTTCACATTTACTTACTAAGCTCTGTCTCATTGCTTTTTAGATGTTACTGTCCCAAGGTCCCCGGGGCCAATGTTTGCCTTGCCTTGTACGAGCAGCACAGAAGCTGCCACCACAGTGTAGGTCAGAACTGTAGGTCAAAGGCAGGCTACGTGGAGTAAGCCTCTGTTACCCCAGCAGGGGCTGTGAGGTGCTTTGGTGGACCAGGAGTGCAGGGCGACCCCATTAAATTCCAGAAGCATCCCAACGTGGATGCCACTAATTGCCACTGGAGGTAGAGAGTGGGTGCAGACACCCAGATGTCCTGGCCCAGAGGGGAGGCAAGCGTCTGAAGACCACTGGCTTAACTGGGGGAGTTGAAAGTCACTCCCAAACCTGAGAATGTGCAAGTCGGTGGGAAAAAGAATTTCTGGTCCCAAGACCAGAGACACAAAACCTCCTACTAGTACCCGATCACCCACTTCACACCTTCCAAGTCATTTCTGGGCCTTGTCAAAGCAAAAGTTATTTATTTGTCATCTTTCGGAGAACAGTTTCCAGGGTGTGGTCAGTCCAAGCACGGAAAACTGATGTTGTGTTTGGTGAGGGAGGCAAACGGCCCTCAAGGAGACAGCAGTCAGGTCGCCCATTCCTGGAGCTCCTCTGAGCCCACGGAGGGCCCAGAGGAGCACCGTAGGATCCTCCCCCACTGGGCCGCTGGTGACCCTTCTCCACACAGATCCATGCTGCTCGGGGGCACTGGGTCTGTGCTGCCCTCTGTGTCCAGGGTTTACAGAGGATCCACAGCCATCTGTGAGCGCTCTCAGTGCCACAAAGGAAGGCCGCTGGGCTGTGCATGTTGAGTGTTGTTTTTCCTCTATATTAAATGAATAAATGAAAAGAAAGCACCCCTTCCTCCCACTGCTTTCCATGAAAAGGGAAGAGATGTGGGGTCTCCCAGGGGCAGCCGTGTCGGGTCCTGTGGCACAGGGCGGTGGTTTTCTCAGAGGTGAGCGAGTCTCCTAGCATTCTCTCTGTCCCTCTTCCTCTCTTGCAGCAATGAAGTGGTGAGGAGCGACTTGAAGAAGCTGCCAGCACTTCCCACCCAAGCACTGAAGGAGCATCCGTCTCTAGCCTACTGGTAAGCCAGCGCTCCTCTCTGCACGCCTAAGCATCCTCTCCAGGAGTGGGCCCTCCTGGGGGATGTGGGGCGCGGGGCGACTGAGTCCATCCCTGCAGCTACTTCGGGGTCAGCCTGGACCCCAATTGGAGAGCGACTCCAGATTGTCCGAAGTGGCTTGGCTCTTCCTGAAACTGTGTTCTGCATTTATTTCAATGATGCGGTATATGTGCGATCGCTCCTTTTTCTGTTTTCTTTCTTTTTTAAAAAAAGAAAACAACACCTCCTAAAATTTCCCTATGGAAGCTTGGCCTCCTTGGAGATCCTTTCATGAGCTGTTAGAGTTTCCTTTTGGAATCCTTGTCATTTGATGACGGGACGTGTGAGGTTTTGAGATGGGGAAGAACGACAGGGTTTTTTTTCTTGGCAGGAGAGAGACTGGTTCTTTTATTTTCCCACAGTGTTTCGTATCTCCTGATTTAGCTGCCATGTAACATGATGCCACAGTTCATCTGTCGGGCCCTAAATTACTGATTCTTTATGAATCAGGCGTTTGAAAGGTTCCCAGATTGTGGTTTTGGTCACAATGGAGCGGACCCTGCATTCCTGGGTACTGTGTTGAAATCCTGCAGGGCTCGCCAGCCTTGACCGCTGTCCTCTGAAAAGCACGAGGCTGCTTCCCTCATAGGCCGTCTGAGTCCTTAACAAAAAGCATCATGACTGCTTTTGTAAAAAATAAAACAAAATTCTCAGAACAAGTCAATCCACCTAAAGTACAACATGAGACTCTTTTAGGCACTTCAGCAATAAGCTTTATGAAATTTACGGGTTACTAACATCTCTTCTTGTCTGGACACTTTTCCAGGCAGCAAACTACTTGTTCAGGTGCTTAAAGAGATTCCTGTAGCTGGGAAAGGGCGTGGCTTGATGCAGAGGCATTAGCAGGATTAAACTCGGGCACATTTCTCCCCTAGAGACCAAATGATGGGCAGCTGGATTGGAAATGAGAAAGGAGGGTCCTGATGCCGACAGCCCATTTCTGTGTGCTGGTGTCCCCGAGTCCATCTCTCTGAACTGTTTCTTGCCATTCTTCCTTCCGTAACATAGATGTGGATACAATAGTGGCTTTGTAGAATTATAATCTGCTCCCAAAGAACAAAATCTCTTAAGCCTCAGGGACTCTGCATATGTGGGCTTCCAAACTTCCAGCCTGGCGGGCTGCACGTATGAACACCAGCATATGACATTCCTGTTCTCTTGTTCATGGAACTCTGTTGCTCTCGCCCCAATTCCTTATGTTCCCATGGGCCTTATGTTCTAGATCCTCCAGCTCGCGTTCAGGAAACCAGTGGTGAGCTAGAGAACAAAGAATATCTCTCTAGAGCCAGTGCTTCCTGCAGGAAGGGGACGTATTTGCCAGTGGGCTGTAATGGTGGCGGGTTGCCTGAGTCAGAGTTGGTTTTAGCCTAATCCATTCCTCAATTAGCCCTTCCATTCATTTGTTTCCAAACATTTGTTACGGTCTGTGCTCATTTCAGAGTTATGAACTCCTTCTCTCTCTCTGCCCCTCTGGATTTTTCTTTCATTATCTCCACAGTCTGCTCTGCGCTCACATGTTATTACTAATAGAGAAATTCCTTCCTTCATGCTCATACTTTCTCTTTGGTCAGTGTAAAGGTCTTTGTCTTCATCCACATCTGTAGCTATCTTGCCAGAACATACCTCCATCTCTGGGATCAAACCAGCACTTTCTCTGGGCCTCATTTAGACCCATAGGTTCCCACACCACTGTCTAAATGTACCGAGAGGATGGCAGGACCGAGGGAGGGACATTTTTGAAGCAGGTACCCTCAGGTGCCACAGCCCAGCTTATATACAAACAAGCCAGTAGCTAAAAAGCATCCTGATGAAGCATTGCTAAAAAAAAACCAAGAAACAGGCCTTTTCACCTTGTCTTATTATGGTTGGCTAGTTGTGGCTGGCTTTACTGTTCCAACTTACTTATTTGGCTTTTTTAAAAATAAAGATGTCAGGAAAGGGATAAATGCCATTTGTGTTTCAAATACATGTAGACTGGAGATGGAGCTGGCAGCCCAAGCTTGTTCCCAGCTTTCCCTCTCTGCCGGAGCATCGTCACTCATCTGCAAGATTAACCAGGACCCTTTATTGTTGGGAGAGACCTTTCCTCAGTCCTCACATCACTGTCTCAATGAAGTTGCCCACAGTCTCAGATTACCCTGCTCATTCTTGAGGGAAGGATGCGTATTCTCCGTTGTTCTGGGCTCTCCTGCTCTTGCTGGCTTTCACAGACGCGACAGACGATCTTCGGGCCAACATAAGCCATAGGGAGCCCATCCACACTAGTCAGGGAAGGCATTACAGCCCAGTGAGCAAAGCAGTGGGTTTTAGAATCCCCACCAAGTCTCTGAACTGTGGAGTAATGACAGTGCAGGAAGCTCGAGTGACTTCCCTGCCTCCTCGATTTCCCATCTGTAAAATGGGATTAACTACAGCAACCGAATTCAGACTGTAATTAAGAGAGGAAGTAAAAAGTCACAGGATACAATTAGGAAGTAGTCAGACTTGCATCATAATGCTGAGTAATCGTGCAGTAATCCTTTGTGCTAATTCTCTCCAAGCGTTGAACAAGCTTGGACTTCTCACACCATGTGATTTCCTTACTGGGGAGGCATCTGAGAGAGAAAGTTAGAATTGTGTGCCCAGGGCCACAGAACATGGCAGGATCAGGGCCCTGACCTGGATTCTCCCGAGGGCCTAGCTTGTGAATGCTGGACCACCCCTACCACCCGTCTGGGGCATGCGGGGACATCTTCATTTCCTCCGAAATCGCTGACCACTCACTGCAGGCCAATATGGCCCCTCCAAGACAAGGAACTGTGTCGCCATCACCTCATGCCCTCTTCCGTCACCCACTGCTTCCCTGGGCCCCTCGTCTGCAGTGAGATGATTTAACTTAGCCTAATCAGCGTTAGTCATTTGTCTTTTTCGTTCATGTAGCACTGTGGCCTCCAAATGGTGTTTTGGGATTCCGTTTACCCTGGTTCCTGGGTTTCTGATAGTTATTCCACCAAGTCCCAACCACAGATCTGAGGTAGTTGGCAAACTGTCTGCAAAGCTTGGTGCATGTGAGCCATCTGTAAATTCCAGGGGAGGAGTAGGGCAGGGGACAGAGAGGCTTCTGTCAGCATGGCGTGTGTATCACATGGTGGGCCCGCGGTGTTTCAATGGGGGCGAATAAGTGGGAAAAGCTGAGGAAGGAGAGGGTCGAGTCTGCGGCTCCACAGATGCTCTCAGACAGCAGGGGAGGCAGGGCGAGGTGGGGGATGGCAGCTTCCTGCAGCTGTCACACACTGTGGGACCCCGTGGTCAGGCCCTTTAGTGGGTTAACAGCTGCCTGACAGTGCTTCTGACTCGCGTTGGTGTTTTCCCTGAGCCTTACTTGTGCTCACAGCCACAGCACTGTACTGATTTTCATCTCCCCACCTCAGCGCAGGGAGCCTCTCTCCCAGAGCCACAGAGGACATAGGCTCGTATCTCCACTTGACCCTGGCTTTAGGAGTTAACCTCACAAATGCTTGATCATGTGGTAGGAAGCCCGCCAACACAGCTGTCGATTCAGTGGGTGGGTGGAGAGGAAGCTGGAAGAGCAACCCCAGAAAGTCCTGACACAGCTCTGAAGGTCTGGTGAGGCTGGGGTCTACCCTGAGGAGATGCTTCTGGAGAATTCTGTGAGGAGAGAGCTTTATCACACTTGAAGTAGAACGCCCAAGGTTGTGTGGGAGCCAAGGCAAAACATGGCTGCATCTGCCTCTTTCTGAACAGAGGGTGCCCAGACCCCACAGAAATAACTCTCTGACTAGAGAAAGGCCAGTCCCCATCCTGGGTATTTACAAAGACACTCTGTTGTGAAAAGTCAGATGGTCTTACATGCACTAAATATGAGAATACTAAAATGAAGAGCTAGTCCTTGAAGATTAAGGTAGTAATTGGAAGATCAATAAATTACCTCCAAATAGTAGGTAGTGAACAGATAAAATGTGTTGCCCTCAGAAATGACCTAGCTAGAAAAGAAAAAGTGGGCGAAAGAAGGCTTCAGAGCAATTCCGTGATAAGAAATTGATAATGGAGAGTAAAGATCCTCCAAGAGGTCTCGAGGTTCCTCTCTAGGATCTCCTCCATGGTGGAGTCCGCTGGCCTGTGGCGAGGAAGGGTGAGGCAGAGAATGAGAAGTAAGGTTCCAAGGCGGTGTGGTGAGGTCATGGAGGCCAAAGCTTTTGGACTCGACTCCTCAGCAGGTGGGATGTGCTTCGCCGGTGATTCCCAAGGTTGGCTATGTGCTTCCGAAGGCAGCAGTGGGAGCAGCCCCAGTTCCCACCTCACTGGGCACAGAGTCCCTTCCAGAGAGGCCCTTTGTGCCCTCGGCCCTGTCAAAGAACAGGTTGGCTTGCCATTGTCCTGCAAGGCCCGAGCTCATCTCTTCTTGTTTGAGAGCTAAGATTTCAGAAGATAAACTGAGTTCCTATCTCATCTCTGGTAGCTGGCTTGTTGTTTCCCAGTGCTCATCTGGGCCTTTTATTGCCTCGTGGTTTGTGTTAACCAGGCCCAAATTCCAGTACTTTCCCATCCTCCTCAGAACCCCTCAACCCTGACTGCTAATTCAGGGTAGGTAGGCCATGGGCATTCTGTCGAGGTCAACACCTGCCCTCCCCCCACGAGGCCCTGTGTAGACAGGACTCAGGAGAGGAGGATCCGAGGGAGTTCAGCCGGAGCATCCGCTCTGATCTCTGGCCAACCTGTTATCTTCCCGTCCCTGGTTCCGTGTCTCTCCCCACTGGGATGCCTGCCCACTGTTTTGTCCTCTTCTCTCACATTATCATTTCTTACAAAGAGCCGACCCCAAAACCTTGGCTCTAATCTTATTCCACTGGTTATAAGTCCAAGACAAAGAGAATGCTAGTCCCCTGTTTGGAAAACAGACTTTTTTAGGAAATCTGTAGCCCAAGGCATCTCGCTTAGGCTGAGTTTGGAAATGCTGCTTCAGGACAAATCATTTTTCCAGGAGCTGTTGGCTCCGTGGGGCCTCTCATGAGATTGCTAGGGCTCAGAAGAAGTATCTCCAATAGCAGGATGCTCGACCGTTGACCTGGGGACCGTAATAACAGAATCTTTTTCTTGTGATTCTAGTGAGGACCGAGTGATTGAGCACTACAAGAAACTGAACGGCCAGACGAGAGGTCAAGCAATCGTCAAGTAAGTGGCCCCTCCCAGTGCTCGTGGGGTTGTGTTTAGCATATGGCAGTGTCGTTCAGTTCTGCTTGGGAAGACACATCTCCAGGGGGTGATGGTTCCATTTCATTTTCAAGTAAATAATCACCCTCAGGACTTTCTCTTACACACACACACACAAATATGTATATGATACCAGTTCTGCCGAATAACACCCTTGTATGTGTGTGTGTTGTCTTTCCAGCTACATGAGCATCGTAGAGTCTCTCCCAACCTACGGGGTCCACTATTACGCCGTGAAGGTAGGTGAACTCATTTAGTGAAGGTTGCCATTTCTGCCCTCAAGACAAAAATTCTCACTTTTCTTTTTGATCGTACTGAAGACATTTTTGGGGATTGGGGGTGAGTGAGGACTTGGTTGGGAAGACCACACGCTAGGGGGAGTTGGGGCAGTGGAACTTTCCCCCTAGGGACATAAGACTTGATTCCGGTACTTTCCAAAACTCCCTTTCCCATCTGGGAAGTGGGTACAATAAATCCTTACTTCCTCTCATTCTCAGAAGAACACTGGGAGATCAGGACTGTAGTGTCTCAGTAGGAAGAGTCCCTCTAAATACAAGGAAGTGTAAAGAACAAAAACCTTTAGCAGGATTGACAGTGTTTTTCTTGGTGGTCAAATGCCATGGAGGCAACTTTTGAGGAGAAGCCCTAAGATGATAGGCTGACAAATTGAGTACATGGGCATTTACGAAGACAGAATCCATCTTCTTAAATATTGTGATGGCGATCCAGTATGACATGGACCCCATTCTAAATTCTGTTTCATTTTATCCATCATGTCCCAGACTGGGATCTCTTCTTTGAAATAATAGATACTGATGTTCCCATGTGCCCTCTCTATGATGAGAAAGGATAGCTTACCTTCCTTCTCCTTTCTTAATTTACCCCAACATGAAAAGTTTGTCATTGCCCAAAGTCCAGCCAAAAAGAGCAGAAAACATTTCTAGACTCAAGACAGTTCTACCAGCCAACCTGAGATTCTCTCGCTCTTCTACCAATTTCTTTTGCCATGTTTCCACCCAACTATATTTTTAATTCCTTTAGACTAGATCATGTGCCATGTTTCATTCATCTTGTGTCACCCATGGCAGCTTGCACAACACTTTGCATGTCCTTGGTATGCATTGAATTGCCCGTATCTTCCTCTAAACTGCAGTCTTTTGACAGCAAAGACTGCGTGTTGTATTCTGTTATGTATTCCCAGAACCCAGCACGGTGCCTGGCATAGTAGACCTAAGTAAATATTTATTGAGAATTGAATTGAGTAGTTGGAGGTGTGCATTTCCATGATGGGAACAAATTTTGGAACTGTATTTGTGGAGCCCAGTTATGGACTCCAGTCCCACTCAGCAGCTCAGCTCAGGTCTTTTAAAGCCTCCATCGGTTAAATTCTCCCTCGTGTCCCACCAAGTTCTTCCCGCCAGTGGAAGCTCTTAATGCCTCTTCACCATCATTCGCAGAACTCATAGAACCATCACAACCATCCCTGCCCTTCTCAAGCCTAACCTGTAGTCTGTCATGAGGAGTGTGACCTAGCCTTTTGGGCTGTCTCCTATCCCGTATGAGAAAAAGGGAATCTTCTAAGCACACTATCCCTATGTAAGGCTGTGCCTTGGGAAGTGGCTATTGGAGTCAGTGGGTAGTCAACTCCCCAAAAGAAAATTGGATTGTTCATGAAGAGAAACTCAGAATCCACTGTGCCGTCTGCCAGTTTCCAACACACTGCTAGCAAGACTTGTAGAGCCCATTTTCATTTTGTCATCTTGTTACCCTAAAGGAAACATAAGGTTGCAACAATAGTTCCTGACATTATTATGAGAGGCATTTCCTAGGACCCAAACTGCAAATCTTACTCTCAATTATGGAAATATTCTGTGGTGATGTGTAGCAAAGGGGTCTACATTCAAGAATGGGAACCAGGGGGGCTGGCCCCGTGGCCGAGTGGTTAAGTTCGCGTGCTCTGATGCAGGCAGCCCAGTGTTTCGTTGGTTCGAATCCTGGGCGCGGACATGGCACTGCTCGTCAGACCACGCTGAGGCAGCGTCCCACATGCCACAACTAGAAGAACCCACAACGAAGAATATACAACTATGTATCGGGGGGCTTTGGGGAGAAAAAGGAAATAATAAAATCTTTCAAAAAAAAAAAAAAAAAAAAAGAATGGGAACCAGGAATTCGGGAATTCCTGGACTACATCCTCTGATTTGCTGTTTGTCCTTGGTTTGATCTCACCTCTGTTGCTCATAATTAAAGTAGAGATTAAGAAATTTGCCTCTCCAGCTACCCACAAAAGTCTTCTAGATATTGGAAGGCTATTGACATAGCTTGTTAGACTGTTGAGATAGATGGATTGGTAGACGGATGGATAGAGCCTTTGAGATGAGGCTTCGTCTAGCCTTTTACTTCCTTGAACCTGTGTTCCAGTTCTTTGTCAACCCTAGATCTTGACAAAAAGGTGGCCTCTGATATATACACTTTCTGCCTTCCAATAAAACTTTAGAAATATGCTCTTTGCAGTTTGTTAGAGACCAGAAGCAGACGTTGAGATTTTCAAAGCGCCAAATACACGTGAGTGTTTGGCTCTTGGACTCTCCAGGTGTTAGCAGTTAAGCACATGACTCCAAGCAAGCCGAAACCAACTGTATCCAGAGTCACTGTTTGGTGACCTCGTGGCTTCATGGATGCCATCTTTTATCGTGTGGTGACAACTCTCACCTAGTCAGTCTGAAGTTACAGCAGCACTGGGGCTCCTCTTGTCCTGTTCTCTGAAACTGTTGCAGGACACACAGGAAATTTCCAGGGGGTTTATACCTTTAAAAAGATGTTTTAAGAAATTATATACCCTGAAACTTTTCTAAAAATTCAAAATTGATTTCTTCTGCCTTTTATCTTTGTGCTTACCTTGAAATAAGTCATGCCCCATAAATATTTGAAACCATGAAGCCAATTTTGAGTTTTCAAGACATCTAGGATGGGATGTGTTAGATTTTTCGTAGATGTGGCAGTTAGGACAAATCTAGGGAAAGGCTGCTTCACATGCCCACTGTCTACTCCTAGCATTTGGGAGCTTTAATTAACGGCTCAGAGTCATCCTACTTGAATGTAGGATTCAACTACAATCCAGTGGCCAGAGGTCTCTGTTAAAGGAATAAATAGAGGGACCTGGTATTTCTAAGTCAGTCCCCGGAATGTCTAGGCTTCACTTTTGCTGCTTTGCCTGACAGCTTGAGTCACACACTCCTGCCCAGCACCTGACTGTCCTCTAAGGTGAGCAGTACCACATGGTGGGTGAGCATCTGCCTGCCCCACACTGCCATTGGCCTGCAGGGGGAACGGCAGGTCCCCAGTAGAGTAGGATGGGCCCTTTGCTTTGATTTCTTTGTCTTTCAAATTAGAGGAGTCTGAAATGCTGCTTACTAAGTGGAATAAGTTAATCTGAAAAGGCTACATTCTGTATGATTCCAACTATATGACCTTCTGGAAAAGGCAAAACTGGTTGCCAGGAGCTGGGAGGGGGTGGGAGAGGCATCAACAGGCAGAGCAGAGAGGATTTTGAGGGCAGAGAAACTCCTCTATGTGACACTGTAATGGTGGATACATGTCGTTATACATTTGTTCAAACCCATAGAATGCACAACACCAAGAGAGAACCCTAATGTAAACCATGGACTTTGGGTGATGATGACGTGTCAGTGTAGGTTCATCAGTTGTAACAAATGTACCACTCTGGTGAGGGATGTGGCTAATGGGGCTGTGCAGGTGTAGGGGCAGGGGTATTTGGGAAATCTCTGTACCTTCCTCTCAGTTTTGCTGCAAACCCAAAACTGTTCTCAAAAAATAAAATCTTTAAAAACAAATTTTTCAGAGGAGTCATCTTCCATAGTCTTCAGGGTCCTTCTAGCTCTGACAGTCGATGAGTTTCTCTGCTCAGAAGGTCGTTTTATTAGCATGCTCAACATCTCTCAGATTGTCCCTTGTGGGGAATGAGGGGCCCAGCATTGAAAAACTGAAGCCTTAGAACAAAGAATAAGGTATTCGCTACTTACTCAAACAGAGGGAAAGGATCGTGGCTGTGCTGCTGGCTAGGGACAGAGCTGGGTCCCCAGCCCAGGGCACTTTCTGTGTCACCTGTTCCCATAACCGAGCTTCCCTTGATGATGGGGCATATCTGTTAAGGTAAAACATAGAGAGGTGGGCGCCATCCATTTCAAGGAATTTGCATTTTCCTTTGTCTTCAGATGACCCAGGACAGCTCTCTTGGTTCCTGTTTATCTTCTCCAGCCCTATATTAACCCATATTCCTTTTGATGTCCTAGGACAAGCAGGGAATACCATGGTGGCTGGGACTGAGCTACAAAGGAATCTTCCAGTATGACTACCACGATAAAGTGAAGCCGAGGAAGGTAGGTGTGCTCTCCTTTGCGGGCACATGGCTCTCAGCCTGAGAGAGGAGCAGACGGAGAAGAGTAAAAATGTTACTCTTGCAGCCTGAAGGCCTCTGGGCTCACCATTCCCCTGCTAATTTGAGTGTATACAAATTACACTGCCGTAATCCCGTCCGAGCACCCTGGGTAAATATTTTTTCTCCCTGTCACTAAGGAAACCTAAGCTGTTATAATTATTTAAGGTAAGGAGCCTGGCTCTGCTCTCCCAAAGCAGATGAGCAAAAGGACTTGGAGGGACTGTCCTGTTCCTTAATTTCCCTCAGTGCTGTACACTCAGGCAAGTGAGGGAACTTTCTTGAATCCTGAGGCTAATCTGAGTTTTCCCAAAGGTTTGCTTTTTTTTTTTTTTTTTTTTTTGGAGGGGGGAGCTAAAAGAAGAGATTGTAGGTCAAACAGAGGTAAAAAATAAAGAAGAATGAGAACCACTCCTGCAAATCCAGAAATGTTTTATGGTGTATTAGAAGTGATCAGAAATCTGGAAAAAATAAGGTCATTTGCCACAAAGAATGGGAACCAGAGACAAGTTTGCAGAGTCATGGTGAAGAAAACAGAATGTTTGAAGGGGGCGACGGGCTTGAATCTTCTGTTTTCATTTACACACGTTTTTTAGACCAGAACAAATTGAAAAATTATAATGGAAAAATATCTCTGAGGCGAGAGCCGTCATTCAGATCCTCTGGCAGAGAATAACGGAGAGACGGTATGCCGTTCAGACCCTGAAATGCATATTAAAAGTCTATCAAAACCATGCTCGCTTTAGGAGAGAGAAAGCAATATTGGCCCATATGTCATTCCAGATGGCTTTCCAAGCTTCTTTGTCCGTGATCAGGATTGAAATCCACACCACAGATCCGAGCTTATGGTAGTCTCTCCAGTTAACATCTGCCCTTAGCCAGCTCCTCTATTAAATAGAAAAAAATATGGCCCCGTGTTGGGGAGGATTTCCACTCAATTGATCGGTCAGTCAGTTAAGTTCTAAGGAAAGATCCTGAGCAAATGACAGAGGGATTCTTCCTTGGGAACAATTCAGTAGGAACCTCGCTGTTCGAGGCGTGTTCTTGTGTGGCTGTTTCCAAAACCATCCTGGGATCTATTTATATGCGGCAAGACATGAATGGGAGCCTGCGTTCTCATTTTTCCCCTCTTTGTTTTTCTTGGTCACAGGGTCTATGCTCGCTCCGCACTGTCTCTTTCTTCCCTCTTCCCCTCTGCCTCTTTCTCTATGGCCTTTGTAAGTTTCTGTGCTTTTTCTTGAGTTCTCGCTTCACTCCAGCTTCCTTTTTTACATCAACTGTCCTCTCTTTTCAACCTGCCTGGCCATTTTTTTCTGCTTGCAAGAGCCAAGAATACTCCTAGATCCTTTAACAAAATCCTGGTACAATGTTTCAAGCTCTTGATGCCCACGTTGGTGGAAGACCAAGGCCAACATGGACAGTTGAGATCTACAGCAGAGTTCGTTAAGATCCAGCAGTTGAATTCTCCTCTCCTTCTAAGCATTTTGAAAGACATGCTAACAAGTATTTATATGTGTTTAATTTATTAATATATTTGGGCTTATTTTATTTCTTTAACTGAAGTGCTAATGAAGATTGAGGAGGTAATGAGATAGCATTTGATACATGTAAAATGCAGAGTGCAAACATCACAAGGACTTGAGAAATTATAGCAATTCTCGCGATAAGGAAAAGTATGAAGCCAAAGGGGTGATAATCAGCCACTGAAGAAGAGAATTTACTGCCATTTCTTGAACTTCTTCAGGTAAACAGATTAAAAATGTTAAAAGGTCGATAGATTTATTCACGGTATTGGCTCTACTCAAACTGAGTTGTTAGTTAAAATAATTTATGCTTCTGTGGGCTCTGAGGAAGTAGTTGGCATTCTCAAGTCTATTCCAACCAAGCCATCAGAGTCTCTATTCATTCATTCATTCATTCACTCATTCATTCAGAAAACGTTATCGCATACCTGTTATGCGCCCAGCACACCAAAAGATGCCGAGATAAATAAGGCACACATCGCGTCCTCAACGCCTGCCCAGGCTATCCAGGAGAGACAGATATGTGATGATTGCATCAGTGTTCCCAAGAGCTACAGCAAAGGTCCGGGGGCGGGGCGGGGAGAGGTAAATTAAAAGACAGAGTCATCAACTGGGGTGAAGGAGGAGAGAAAAGTCTTCACAGGCTGCAAAGTAGGAGCTGGGTCTTAAAGGGCGAACAGCAGTTTTGCAGATGGACAAATGGGCTGGGGAGGCACGCAGGTGGAGAGACCAGCGTGCATGAAAACTCCGTGAAGGAGAGCGCATGGCATGATGGGAAAGCACACAACACCATTGGGACCGGAACGTAGGTGGAGAGGAGGGCAGCTGGAGAGGAGGCTGATGAGATTCCAACAGCCAGCTCACAGAACCCTGAAGGCTTTGCTAAGAGGGTTTTGTCTTTGAGGCAGTAGGAGCCACTGAGCATTTGAAGCAGCGGAGTGGCCATATCAGGTTTTTGTGGTCATAGAAGCATCATCTGACAGCTGTGTGGAGGTGGGTTGGAGGAACACAGGACAATAGTGTAGGCCAGAACGGGTCAGGGCTTGAGGTTGGCCATCAGTAATAGGGATGGAGAAGGGGAAGTGGAGGAGAGACATTTAGAAGGTAGATGTGATTGGTCGATCATATGAGGGGAGAGGGTGGCAGTCAGAGCAGGAGGGGAGTCTAGAATGACTCCCAGGCTTCTTAATCAACGAAAGCATGGGATATAAGGGAAATAAATTTGGTTTAGGCCATGCAGAGTTTTAGGCTTGATGGGACATGGGAGTAGCTGTGACAAGTAGACAGTTGAGTATTCAATTGGAGCTCAAGAGTGTCAAGAATTTCCAGAGCATAACTGAACCAGATACTGAATGGAGAGAGGAAAGGGAGAGGCCTTCAACTCACCGGAAAAGTTACCAGTGGCCCTGAGCAGAAGACTTCAGTTCCCTGCCATGACATCCACTGTGAGTCACAGGGGCAGGACCAGGCTGTGTGGACCCTGACCCTTATATAATTTGGGGAGCCCTCTTTAAGAAATGAATGTATGAGCTGAATCTAAAATTAAGAACAGGCCTCTGAAAGAGGAAGAGAAGCCTCAGTTTTCATTAGCCCAAGGGGTTTCCATCTCTGCTACCACCTAGGATGGGAGCTAAAGGCAAAACCAGAGATTAGCCATAGTGGTAAAGTCCCAGCTGCGAGAAGACCCAGGCAGGATGCCTGTTCCTTCTTCTCACACCCAGCATCATCACCGTCATAAAAAGGCGATCTTTGTTAAAAGTAAGGCACCCGTGAGTCTCTGAGAAGGCAAAGAGAGCGCTCCCTGGCTCCAGAGCTGTGAATCTGCAGAGACGCATCCACAAGGCACGGCTACCAATGCAAGGTCGTATATACAGTGCCCCAAGTCTGTCTTTAGGGCTCCAGGCCAGTGATTCTTAACCTCAGTTGAAAATCAGAAACTCAAAGGAAACTGTTTGAATGGATAGATGCCCCAGTCTCCCCCAGTCCCACTCACCCCCATCTCACTCAGCTGCTGAACTTTGCGGCTGGAGTTGGGGACCACCACCACAGCTATCTATGCTTCCTTTCCGAACACAGACTTGGGGAGGGTCAGCCAGGCTCAGCAGGTGTGTCTGGCCCTGCCTCTGCACACAGAGAGCTTGGGTGTCCCAAGGCACCAGGCTCAAGGCCTTGCCAGCCCCCGTGTGAGGGACGGGCCTCCAGGAGGCACCACACCCTATTGCTCATGGGCCAGGCAGAGCGCCACTACAGTGGGCCCCCAGCGATGCTCAGGAAACCGGGAGTGGTGCCCAGTTCTGTGCACCTGGAGGCCTTCTGCAGCAACAGCTGCACCTCCAGCCCAGGCAGGGGCCCTCCCTCACACTCTGACCCAGTTACGGCAGCTGGGTCACATGGCACCGCAATACTATGAGCCAACATTCAAGTAGGGGCAGTGGCAGGGGCGAGCCTGCGCCCTTTCCTTGGAGGGCCTAGAGGCATCCTCTGATATGCACCGTTCTAACAGCATCAACAAACTGTTAACACAGCCAGGGAGCTTACTACCTTCCTTTGAGAATCTACTCAAGTGTTTCCAGATGACTTACCAAAAAAGCGGGGAGTAGCTGATTGCTGTCTAGAAATGGGCAGGACTGTAGCTTGTCCCAAATTTTCTGGTTGGGGTGCAGTTTGCCATCCTGTTTGCAGAGTTTACCCTAAATTGCATGATCCTCAGTCTGAAGCCCTGGGGGCCTTAGGGGAGATAAAGCACAGGGTGCCCCAGGTAGAGTAGAGAGAACATTTTAACCTCCTCCTAACCACACGCGCCTCTCTGCTACCTAGACCTCCTAAACAAATGGGCTCCTCACCTTGCAGGAACACAGCCTAAAATGCACGCTGCTGATGTTTGTCAGAAAAAAACCCAGCTCCTTTGCCCTCAGGGAACACGTGTCAGGATCAGCTAGACAGGTGGGGACACTGAAGATGGCATTTTGGCTTTTGTGTATATTCAGAAGCTCAAGGCCAACTTCAGAAGTATTTTAGAACTACATGTGCAGAAGAATAGCCCCAAAGAGCCCTTAAAAAAATCAGCAAATAGGACTTAAAAAAATTGCAGTCTACAATACATCCATACGCCCCAGATCATTGGCCCCTGCTTGCGTCTATGAGTTCTTTTAAAAAGATCAGGCAGAAACCCAAACGGTGTCTGAGGATGGGTTGTGGAATCTTTTATAAGCTATTAAATTCCCCCATCAACTCCCAGTAAATCCTGTTTTTCTCCTTCACCCAGGGATGTTTACCTCTCCCTCTCTGCCTGCCTCTTCCCTCCTGTGCTCTTGTTCAGACTAAAACACCATATAACACTTCGAAACGTCCCTTTTGGTTATCTCAACTCGCTTCTCCTCTTTCCCATGGTTGTAGTTTGCTAGTTTTTATGAGCAGTTGT